GCCGCCCTCACCTCACTTCCTCGCGTCTCCGCGGGCGCTGCCGGAACAACAACTCCGCCGGCCGCCCGCGTCCCACCGCCGGCCGCGCTCTGCAGCCGGGCCCGTCCCGTTCACTCCGCCGCCGACAGAGCCCTGAGAGGGCGGAGGGAGCCGGGCGGGGAGCGGAGGGGAGGGGAGCGCCCGGCAGGAAGGAGCGAGGGAGGGGGCGGGCTGAGGAGGAGGAGGCGGTGGGCCGGGAGCGCGCGCGTCCGGGCCCCTCAGCGCGGCGTGCGCGCTCCTGAGGGCGGAGGCGCCCTCGCTGCCCCGGCGGCGGCGCGCGCGCGCACACACACGTCTCCCTGTGGTAGAACGTTGCCGGCGCACCGCGGAGCGTGAGCCTGAGGGAGCCAGAGTTGGACCGGTAGGGAGGCGCAAAGAGGCGAGAGCACCCTCGGAGACGTACCCGCGCCCCTTGAACCAACTGAGCCAGGTGGACTGAAGCCCTGCGTGCCGAGTTCTAAGATTATTCTGTTGGGGAGAGCATTTTCTCACTCCTAAACCTGGTTTCCAGATTTCCATCCTTAATTCCCAGCAACCGTGAGGGACGTCACCTCAAAGTGGGCTAACTTCTTCACCAGTAACTCTTCTCTGTCTTTCCAAGGTGTCTGTGTATTTATGAAGCGCTCCCTTGTTGATTGCTTCTCTGACACCCAAGAAATTGAAAAGGAAAATAAAGTGCTGAGCACAGTTGTGTATTTATATGAAAACAAGGTACCCTCATTTGCACGTTGCTATCCTTTGGGATAATACATGTTGAAGTACTAACTAGGTAGAGATAAAAAGAAATCAGCCCTTTTTTCTCTTGGATCACAGGGATGTCCTCGTCTTTAAACTATTCCTATCTAGATCCTGCAGCCACAAATGACTTGTATGTACATTTCCCCAATCTCCTTAGCACTGTGTCTGCAGATCTGTGGCACCTATATATTCAACTTTAGGTTGATTTGTGCACTATACCCTCCTTGAGAACATGCTTCGTTCATTTTTATACTTCCCACAATGGATTATGCCTGACTCATAGGAAGTATTCAGGAAATATAATTGCAAAAATAAGTAAATATGATGTAGCAAGAGTTAAGTGTGTCTAGTTATTTGAGTCATAGAATGACTGTTTTTGTTTAAATTTTCCTTTCTATCACACTTCACTTCCCCACCCAGATTCAAAAGCTACTCTGAGAAATGTGACATTTTTCCAAAGTGCTCTCTACCTCAAATTTCTATACACACATGCACGCACGCACGCCCAAGCGTGCGCGCACTTTTCTAATCTTTTTTTTTTTTTTTTTTTGGTTTTTCTCCGGTACCGGGAACCGAACTCAC